CCTCTCATGGTCACTTCAATCCACTCCTGGTCATCTTGATCCTCTCATGGTCACTCTGGACCACCTCATGGTCACTTTGATCCTCTCATGGTCACTTTTATCCCCTCCTGGTCACTTTGGTCACCTCGTGGTCACTTTGATCCTCTCATGGTCACTTTGATCCTCTCATGGTCACTTTGGTCACCCTGTGGTCACTTTGATCCTCTCATGGTCACTTTGGTCATCTCATGGTCACTTGGAACATCTCATGGTCATTTTGGGTCCTCTCCTGGTCACTTTGGGCTTCTTGTGGTCATCTGGATCCTCTTTTGTTCCTCATGGTCACCTCATGGTCACTCAGACCATCTCATGGTCACTTTGGACCTCTCATGGTCACTTTGAACCTCTCCCGGTCACTTGGAACATCTCGTGGTCACTTGGATCTCCTCCTGGTCACTTTGGGCCTCTTTTGGTCATCTGGATCCTCTTTTGTTCCTCATGGTCACCTCATGGTCACTTGGAATTTCTCATGATCACTTTGGCCACCTTATGGTCACTTAGGACCTTTCCTGGTCACTTTGATCCTCTCTTGGTCACTTTAGAGCTCTCATGGTCACTTTGATTCTCTCCTGGTCACTTTGATCCTCTCACAGTCACTTTGGTCATCTCTTGGTCACTTCGGTCCTCTCTTGGTCACTTCAATCCACTCCTGGTCACTTTGAACCTCTCGTGGTCACTTTGATTCTCTCATGGTCACTTTGATTCTCTCCTGGTCACTTTGGACCTCTCCTGGTCACTTCAATCCTCTCATGGTCACTTTGATCCCCTCCTGGTCACTTTGGCCACCTGGTGGTCATTTTGGCTCTCCTCATGGTCCCCTCATGGTCCCCTGGTGATCAGTGACCCCTGTGGCCATCTCGGACCGCGTCCGGCCCATCGCCGTGGCCTCCTGCCTGGAGGTCACTTTGTGGTCATTTTGTGGTCATTTTGTGGTCATTTGGACCTCTCATGGTCACTTGGAACATGTCTTGGTCATCTTATGGTCACTTGGAACATCTCATGGTCACTTTGGATCTCCTCATGGTCATTTTGGGCTTCTTGTGGTCACTTTGGTCCTCTAGTGGTCACTTGGACCTTCTCATGGTCTCTTTGGACCTCTCGTGGTCATCTGGATCCCCTTTTGTCCACCTCTCTCCTCTCATGGTCACTTGGGTCACCTCATGGTCACTTTGGACCTCTCATGGTCACTTTGGTCACCTCGTGGTCACTTGGAACATCTCATGGTCACTTTGGACCTCTCCTGGTCACTTTGGGCTTCTTGTGGTCACCTGGATCCTCTTTTGTTCCTTATGGTCACCTCCTGGTCACTTTGGATCTCCTCATTGTCACTTTGATCCCCTCCTGGTCACTTCAGACCTCTCATGGTCACTTCGATCCTCTCATGGTCACTTTGATCTTCTCGTGGTCACTTTGGACCTCTCGTGGTCATCTGGACTCCCTTTTGTCCATCTGTCTCTCCTCATGGTCACCTGGGTCACCTGATGGTCACTTTGATCCTCTCATGGTCACTTTGGTCACCTCGTGGTCACTTGGGTCCTCTTTTGTCCACCTCTCTCCTCTCGTGGTCACTTTGGTCACCTCGTGGTCACTGTGATCCTCTCTTGGTCACTTTGATCCTCTCATGGTCACTTTGGTCACCCTGTGGTCACTTTGATTCTCTCATGGTCACTCTGGACCCCTCGTGGTCACTTTGGTCACCTCATGGTCACTTGAAACATCTCATGGTCATTTTGGGTCCTCTCCTGGTCACTTTGGGCTTCTTGTGGTCACCTGGATCCTCTTTTGTTCCTCATGGTCACCTCCTGGTCACTTTGGATCTCCTCATGGTCACTTCGATCCTCTCCTGGTCACTTTGGTCACCTCATGGTCATTTCGAACATCTCATGGTCACTTTGGGTCTCCTCATGGTCACTTTGGGTCTCCTCATGGTCACTTTGGACCTCTCCTGGTCACTTTGATTCTCTCATGGTCACTTGGATCTTCTCATGGTCACTTTGGACCTCTCGTGGTCATCTGGACCCTCTTTTGTCCATCTCTCTCTCCTCGTGGTCACCTGGGTCACCTCATGGTCACTTTGGTCACCCTGTGGTCATTTTGATCTTCTCATGGTCACTTTGGTCACCTCATGGTCACTTTGGTTACCTCGTAGTCGCTTTGGTTACCTTGTGGTCACTTTGATCCTCTCATGGTCACTTTGGGTCTTCTCGTGGTCACTTTGGACCTCTCGTGGTCATCTGGACTCCCTTTTGTCCATCTGTCTCTCCTCGTGGTCACCTGGATCACATCGTGGTCACTTTGATCCTCTCCTGGTCACTTTGGCCACCTCCTGGTCACTTTGGGTCTCTTCCTGGTCACTTTGATCCTCTCCTGGTCACTTTGGCCACCTCCTGGTCACCTCGTGGTCACCTCGTGGTCACTTTGGACCTCTCCTGGTCACTTTGGATCTCTTAAGGTCACCTGAAATTTCTTCCGTCCACCTGTGTCCACTCCTGGTCACCTGGGTCACCTCGTGGTCATCTGGTTCACCTTGTGGTCACCTCGTGGTCACCTTGTGGTCACTTCGGCCACCAAACCCTTCAAATTTTCCCCAAAATCCCGGAATTTTGGGGCTGTTTTGGATGGGATTTTTGGGGTGAATATCGGCCATTTTGGGGCCGATCCTGATGGGATTTTTGGGGTGAATCCCATCCATTTTGTGGCCCTTCTGGATGGGATTTTTGGGCTGAATACCGGCCATTTTGGGGTCCATCCCAATGGGATTTTTGGGGTGAATATTGTCCATTTTGGGGTCGATCCCAATGGCATTTTTGGGGCGAATCCCATCCATTTTGGGACCAATCCCGATGGGATTTTTGGGGTGAATCCCTTCCATTTTAGAAATGATTTTTGGGGTGAATATCGTCCATTTTGGGGCCGATCCCGATGGGATTTTTGGGGTGAATCCCTTCCATTTTTGGGCTGATCCCGATGGGATTTTTGGGGCCAATCCCGGCCATTTTGAGACTGTTTTGGATGGGATTTTTGGGGCCAATCCCAGCCATTTTGGGGCCGATCCCAATGGGTTTTTTGGGGCAAATCCCGATGGGTTTTTTGGGGTGAATCACGGCCATTTTGGATGGGATTTTTGGGGTGAATATCATCCATTTTGGGGCTGATCCCGATGGGATTTTTGGTGTGAATATTGTCTATTTTTAGGCTGTTTTTGATGGGATTTTTGGGGCGAATCTCGTTTGTTTTGGGGCCAATGCCAATGGGATTTTTGGGGCGAATCCCATCCATTCTGGGACCGATCCCGATGGTATTTTTGGGATGAATATTGTCCATTTTGGGACCAATCCCGGTGGGATTTTTGGGGCCGATCCCGGCCATTTTGGGGCCATTTTGGATGGGATTTTTGGGTCAAATCCCAGCCATTTTGGGGCCGATCCTGATGGGATTTTTGGGGTAAATCCCGGCCATTTTGGGGCTGTATTGGATGGGATTTTTTGTCAATCCCGATGGGATTTTTGGGGTGAATATTGTCCATTTTGGGGCCGATCCCAATGGGATTTTTGGGGCCAATCGCAGACATTCTGGGGCCACTTTGGGGTCAATCCCGGCTGTTTTGGGACCATTCTGGATGGGATTTTTGGGCTGAATCCTGGCTATTTTGGGGCCGATCCTGATGGGATTTTTGGGGTTGAATCCGATGGGATTTTTTGGGTGAATTGCGGCCATTCTGGGGCCGATCCTGATGGGATTTTTTGGGGCGAATATTGTCCATTTTGGGACCGATCCCAATGGTATTTTTGGGGCAAATCCCGTCCATTTTGGGACCCATCCCGACGGTATTTTTGGGGTGTCCCCGCAGTGACGTACCCCGAGGTCCTGCAGTGCGTCAACGTCACTCTGTTCTCGGCGGACGAGTGTCGCCGCTTCTACCCCGGCTCCATCACCGACAACATGATCTGCGCCGGCAACGTCCAGGGCGGCACCGACTCCTGCCAGGTGCGAGCCCCGAAATCCCCAAAATCACCCCAAAATCACCCAAAATCCCGATTCCTCAAAATGACAAAAATCGCCCTTGAAATCGCTCTGAAATCGCCCCAAATCACTCTAAAATTGTCCCAAAATCACCCCAAAATCACCCCAAAATCACCCCAAAATCACCCAAAATCCCGCAGCTTTCCCCATTCCTCAAAATGACAAAAATCGCCCTTGAAATCACTCTGAAATCGCCCCAAAATCTCTCTAAAATTGCCCCAATTCCTCTGAAATCCCCTCCAAATCCACCCAAAATTGTCCCCCTCAAATCTCCTCTCAAATCCCCTCAAAATCACCCCAAAATCACCCAAAATCCTGATTCCTCAAAATGCCCGAAATCGCCCTCGAAATCACTCTGAAATTACCTCAAAATCCCTCTAAAATTGTCCCAAAATCACCCCAAAATCACCCAAAATCCCGATTCCGCAAAATGGCAAAAATCGCCTTCAAAATCGCCCTCAAAATCCCTCTGAAATTGCCCCAAAATTCCAAATCCGCCCAAAATATTCCCCATCAAATCCCCCCAAAATCACCCCAAAATGAACCAAAATCCCGCAGCTTTCCCGATTCCTCAAAATGACAAAAATCGCCCTCGAAATCACCCTCAAAATCCCTCTGAAATCGCTCCAAATTCCTCCAAATTTCCCAAAATCCCATCCCCCCAAAATCCCCCCAAAATCATCCAAAATCCCGCAGCTTTCCCTATTCCTCAAAATGACAAAAATCGCCCTCAAAATCGCTCTGAAATTACCTCAAAATCCCTCCAAATTTCCCAAAATCCCCCCCAAAATCACCCCAAAATCACCCCAAAATCACCCAAAATCCCGATTCCTCAAAATGACAAAAATCGCCTTCGAAATCGCCCTCAAAATCCCTCTGAAATTGCCCCAAATTCCTCCAAATTTCCCAAAATCCCCCCAAAATCCTCCCAAAATCTTCCCCCTAAAATCCCCTGAAATCCCCCTAAAAATCCCTCTCAAATTGCCCAAAATCCCCTCTCAAAGCCCCCCAAAATCCCCCAAAATCCCGCAGCTTTCCCGATTCCTCAAAATGACAAAAATCGCCCTCAAAATCCCTCTAAAATTGTCCCAAAATCACCCAAAATCCCAATTCCTCAAAATGACAAAACTCGCCTTCAAAATTGCCCTCAAAATCCCTCTGAAATTGCCCCAAAATTCCCTGAAATCCCCTTCCAAATCCGCCAAAATATTCCTCATCAAATCCCCCCAAAATCACCCTAAAATCACCCAAAATCCCGCAGGTTTCCCGATTCCTCAAAATGACAAAAATCGCCCTCAAAATCGCCCTCAAAATCCCTCAAAAATCCCTCTCAAAATCCCCCAGAAATCGCCCCAAAATTCCTCAAAAATCCCCTCCAAATTGACCTCAAAAT